AGTATGGAAAGACTAATTTCCTAAAATATGTAACAGTTATATTCAGTATTTGATTAAAACTTTTAGATTTACCACATCGTTGAAAGACACAGAAGGATAACTAACACGGACTTTATAAAACTTATTAATCAGTTTAGAAATCTAAAACAAAGAGCAAGGTTTGGTTTTTGTAATAATAGTAATGGTAACAATTTTTTGTCTTTTATTTTTTTTTGAAAACACGAAAAATCCTACCTCATCATTTATAGATGTGAAGCTATAAATCCATATATTAACATTATATAATCGAGCAGAAAAACCTATTATTGGTACTATGAAGGGCAGTTGTACATTCTCCATAAAGTTTATGTAAGCTTCATAACTATGAAATTGCATTTCATAAAAGCTACTTATGATGAAATAAGCAAAGTACGCCTCGATCGTATTAATAAATTCACATTTCGCTTCGTGAAGTGATACACAAGCTTTTGCAAAAATTTCAGTAATTTCTTTGACTTTCTTTGGATCTTTCATATTGATAATAGTTTCTGCGTTTACATTTAAAACTTCAGCGTGAAATTTTATTTTAGATGCAAAGACAAATGCTATGTAAGTAATTATAAACCTTATAAGTACTATAAAGAATACCAGAAAAAATTTATTATCCCAGACCGCATACGACATTGTACACCCTTCGACCACTAAAATTAGGACACCAATCGAAATTATAATCATTATCTTATTCTTGGGGAAAATGCAACGTGTAGTGCAGGGCAGCATTTTCAAGTAAAATGCACAATGTTCTAACTTCTCCAAAGCTGACATCAGTGTAACCGTTTTCAATGTCGAAGAATACAAAATATAAAAAACTAGAGAAATATCAAAGATTACTCTAGTCAATAATATCCTTTTTGTTGTTAACGAGCTCATAACGGGAAAAAGATCGAAAACGCCTTCTTTTGCCAGGATAATCACGTAAAAAAGAGGCATGGCAAATGTTGCTAAACTTTTCAATGTTTTACAAAGCAAACTTTCTTTATTACCGTCATTTATTTCGAAATTTAAGTTTCTAATGCCAATAATTTTTGCGAAAACGTTTAAAAAAGATTCTACCCAAAACCCCATGTTAGTACTTTCGTCGACAAATGAACTTATAACTACTTTAGTCGTTACTATTTATACCTTTTTGCTGCGCATGATTCTGTTTTCAATTCAGAAAACAATTTTTAAAAATTGTCCACTTTAGGTAGTGCATTCGAATTAATTCATTTTTTCATTTGCTAGTGGAGTATTTGTACAATCGAATTTAATGGAACAAAAAGAACAAACAGTAAGTCGATCAATTGTATTTTAACTCATATAGTTAAACGTCAATAATACTAACATTTTAATCTATTAATTGAAATTCTAAATCTATTGTCTGATGTACTAAGCTGACTCTGTGTATAAGGGGCAAGATTAAAACGAAAGCTTTCCTTAAATTCATAAAAAAACAAATAGTTACAAAACTATAATTTACGTTTTTAGCTACTCTTCTCCTAATCTAAACTGAATGAGAGTTACCAAGTAGTACAGGATTGTTGTTGCAATCTAAAATAAACCAATAACACAATATCACAGTCTTTAACAAAAAAAATATACATACAATTTTTTTTTTTAGACATCTTTTAGAAGTGAGTTAGTTTAATATGAAATATTATTCTGAAAATTCATTTCTGAATTTTTTTTCCACT